ATCTGGTGACATCCTCCTTGAATATTAGGGGACCCAATGCAAGGCTTCATAGAGAAATGGGCCATTCCTGTTCATCGCTGTCTTTCTAATTCAGCACAATCTGGCACTTCAGCAGCAGGCAAGGGGGGGGGGGCTCGAGAGAGAAAAGCCCCCCAGCCTGTTATCTCATGCCAGCTGCCTAACACCTGATACCTGTGCGCAGGGATAGGGAGGGGGGCCTGCCAGCCAGCCAGCTGTGAACACCTGTCTCTGTCAGACGGCTGGATGGTCTCTCCAGCTGTTCATACAAGCCCTGCAGCTGTGTTGCTTAATTGGTGATTTGTTCAGATGGCTGGGAACAAACCTCAACAAGACAAAGGAGGAGGAGGAGGAGGAGGGAGACGAAAGAAAGAGGGGAAAAAATGTGTTTGAATGCAGCCTGTTCCACAGCCTTCAGCCCCCAGAAAACGAAGGAAGACACAAGTGCAAAACAAGCCCACTCCCATAATTATTCCCTACGGATCAACAGAATAATTTTGATTTATCAAAATGTACTGCAAACACAGAGGAAGTGCAGCTTATAAAGCATTTAAGAAACTGGCTCACGATGTTATGTGCTGCATGGGAACACTCCTTTTAATGGAGCGTTCACCTATTTTCTTACGAGGTTACCCTAGAATTTGGAGGTAGAGTGAAGTATCATCCAGACACAACTGCCCACTGCTTTATTCTGACAGTAAGTGTGCACATTCACAAACCTTTTCATAGGTATATTTTTTACTAACACTGTATTTTCATGAACATGTACAAAGGGGATGCTCCTTTTCTCCTATGGCATTTGACTTACAAATTTATGTGTATACATAACCTGTCTATATTGTGGGATAAAGATATTAATATGCAAAGGGGTTTGGAAGAATAGCTAGACTTTCCATGTTAGCGTATAAAAATGATGGAAATGTAATGGGGAAAAAAACAATACAGTATTAAGAATCTTCTTTCCATCTTCTATGTCATCCAAGACTTATATTAATTTCCACCCCTAATGGGCTACTCTCTGATTTACCTAATCCCCATAAGACAAGACAGTATTTTGAAAACAGGGGATTACTTTAAATGATGGAAGTTGTAACTGTATACATGTACACCTCACCACAGCTACTATACGGGCTGATGGTATTTCCAATAAAGCAAATTTAGTTTTTGTGAAGATTGAATTTTTAAAACATTTCTCTTCATTCACATTGGTTAAGGAAGACAGGATAATTTCTTCTGGAATGAAGGAAAATTCCCCACTAAGCAAACAGGTGAATACCCAAACAAAGAATAATAAATGTAATAAAAGCAAATTACTATTTAAATTCAAAGCAAAAAAAATTATGCAATAATTAAAATATATTCTATATCTTACTTGGAGAACAGAACAGAACTCAGATTTCCTATAGCTCAGACGTGATCAAGCTTACTTCGGCAGTTCTTTAATCAGAATCGCCAGAGAGATTTCAGATAAGCCAGGAATATATATCTAGACCAGGGGTGGGTTTCAACCGGTTTGCGGCGGTCCCTGCGAACCAGTTGGTCGCCGAACCCGGAAGTAAGTAACTTCCGGGAANATTTATAATTAGTAAAAGTACACTTGATTTCTACACATGGAGTCTCGTGGTTTTCTTTCCTAATTATCTTATGGAGAGGTTCTGACAGCAATTTTATCTTAGAATGAGGAAGTTGCGATTGACTGAGAGTACTTCTGCAGTTGAAATTGGAAATGTTAGTACTTTGCAATGGGGAAATGTTTTGCAATGGGAGTGGGAGAGAGAATGTGAATGCCAGTCCTGAAAATGGAGAAATACATCTTGGGCGGGATGGGGGGGGGGGATTAAAATGGCAGAGCATTGTTGAAGGAGAAAGAGGAGTCTCGTAGCATTTTATTTTCAATGTGGTATCAGACTCCAGAACAAGGTTTATGGGTAAGTCCAATAGCAACTTGTACAGACAAATCACATATTTCATTGAGGATAACAGTTTTTATATATCTGGGAGTACCCAGGAAAGAAGAGAGCGGTGCAACAGAAATAAACAAATATTTTGAACAAGATGAACAAAAAGATTCCATATCTACTCTACAGAGTGTCTATATAAATTATCAACAAATAAGAAGTGAATCAAGAAATTCAAACTTTAATATGTAAAATGTAAACATGGAAGAATGTCATATGAATTAAAAGCTTTAAAGCTTAAAAGATGAGTGATTGAAATTTGGATGCATTCAGAAATAGTTGGGTATACTCAAGAACAAAATGTTGAAGTGTCAGACAGATGATCAGATCATTCATTTGGCCAGCCACAAATTTAGAAATTGTGATATGTGCTTAAGGTTCTTCAAGTCAAAGGACTTATTACTTTCTTCCCCCAGGAAGCTGTTTAGGGAATAATGCCTCTTTTTCATAGCCTGTCACCAGCATATATCTCTCATTATATCAAAATATTTATTAAATAGGCTTGCAAGTTTAATCTGCAAAGCTGTTTTATTATTTACTATTAATTAATATAGCTAATTTTCACTTCTGTACATAATTTATGCAGGGATTGGAATTATCCGAGACTAAACAAAGAATATTGTTTAACCATGGCTGTTTAGAACAACCATTTAAGAGTTATTTCCCGTATGTTAAGGGCATAAAAGGATATATCCAGCATTATGTTCTTAAAGAAGCTACCCCAATCCTTCAGACGTGCACAGAAGATCTGCATGAAATAGCACCTTATTAATTGTTATTTATTAACAGTCAACTCAGTTTCTGAAAGTGCTTAATAGTATAATTAGCAATAGCAATAGCAGTTAGACTTATATACCGCTTCAAAGGGCTTTCAGCCTTCTCTAAGCGGTTTACAGAGCCAGCCTATCGCCCCCACAGTCTGGGTCCTCATTTCACCCACCTCGGAAGGATGGAAGGCTGAGTCAACCTTGAGCCGGTGAGATT